CTTTCTTTTTTTTTCTGATATTTGTGGAGAGAGAGAGAGAGAGAGAGAGAGAGAGAGAGAGAGAGAGAGAGAGAGAGAGAGGAGAGAGAGAGAGAGAGAGAGAAGAGAGAGAGAAGAGAGGACATGGTTGTGTGTCTGAGTGTGGGCATGTGTGTATGATGGTGCCTATGTAGAGGTCAGAGAACCTGTTTTAGACAGGTCTCCTGCAGGCTTCTGGGGATGCTCCTGCCTCTGCTTCCCACCTTACTGTTAGGAGCACCAGTGTTATGGTTACATTCTCCCATGTCTGGCTCTATGCCGGTCTCAGGGTCCAAGCTCAGATCTTTATGCTTCTGTGCCTGGCATCTCTTTACATGTCGAACCTTCTTCCAGCCTGATAGAGTTTTAAATAGTCATTTGGAGAGGTGGAGAGATAAAAGAAGGTGGAGTGTGATTACTCATGTACTCACTGATGACTCTTTCCTTCCTGTTTTCTTCTTGGCCAGTGCAAAGAACACGATCTGGCCATGATCAACCAACTGCTGGATGATCCAAAGCTGACTGCCAGTAAGTACAGAGAGTGGAAGGTCATGAACACCCTGCTGATCCAGGACATCTATCATCAGCAGCAAGAACCTCAGGACCCTGAAGTCACCCCCCAGGAACTCAAGAACCCTGGCTCTTCTGACTGTGTTGAAAATTCTCTTTGAGCAGAAGCCAGGATTGCCTCCTTCCTTGTTACTGTGACATTCTACAAGACGCTGCCAGGGCATACATTTTGCTTACAAGGAAACCCCAAACTCAGTTCCTAAGGCATCATGCCTCCTTCATAAGGATGCAACCAAGGTGAAGCCAGTTCAGATGCAGTGGGAGTCCTGGCTTCCATGTGTTGCATTCATCAATATTGAAGTTATGGAGTTCATCTGAGCAGGCATATTTTCTGTGCTCCTGTTGCGAGCTGGTAAGCGTGCTAGGCTCTAGGTGAGATGTAAAAGGGGTAACCTCCTCCTTTGCTTTCAAGAGAATTACAACCTACCATAGACAAAAGGTCCAATTTTACTAGGGATAATAATTCATAGGAATGTTCCATTTTTCAAAAGAAACATGTAGAATCCCCTTTGGTGGGCAGTAGAGTTCTGCAAAACATTTCAAGTGGAGGATTTCTTCCGCAGTAGCTACTGGAACTAGACATGGGTTAGTATTTGTGGAATACAAGGCTCTTCTTACCTTTGGTATAGAGAGCAGTGCCTTTTTGACGTGTTGAGTGCTTATTTGGCTTGGTGAGATGGAGAGTCGGGGAGCCCAGGGAGGAGGCATGCGTTCCATTCCACTCAGAGGACAACTTCATATGTTCATGATCTGCCTAGGGTGGGGGATCTGATTAAGGTGGCCCTTCCTCACAATGTCAAGGAGACAGATGGTCACGCGACAGTTGGGGTTCTTTGTCCTCCACCCCCAGCTTCTCTGAACAGTGGTAGGAGATAGTAATACCCATTGCAAGGAATGTCAGACTGTGTTCATCCCTGGCTGTGGTGCCTAAGCCCAGTATGAATTTATGTCCAGTTTTCCTGGGATCCAAATTCTCAAGGTTATTATTTCTGAATTGTTCTGAACTTGGAAAAGAACCTAGACCAACAAAACAACAAAACAGCTAAACAGGATTGTTTTATTTTTGTATGTTTATGTGTCATATAGTGTGAGATGTGAATAGCTGTCTATGTTTCTTATTTAAATATATTTATAGAAGTGCAAATTATAGTGTTTTAAAAGAGTGTACTATTATGTGTTGTTCAATATATATATATTCTAGAGGTCTATCATTTTTGCTTGAGAAAAATAGGTATACTAGTGACTTACTGAAGATGTGTTGCACTATGATAGATGAGGAATGCTCAGGAAATCTCATGAGAAAACTAAGGGAGCATGTATCGATAATTATCCATTTTCTGAATGCCTTCTTTCTATTATTGCACCTCCACCTCCAGCTCCAGAGCTCTTAAATTTCAATGCCATTTTCTTAACTTACACATTAGGCTAGCTCTTCTACTCAGAAAGTTTAAGGTTGATTACATTTATGGCATAAATTATAGACACAAAGGAACACATCTCATGAAATCTTGGGCCAAATGAAATATAAGCAATATAATTCCCAAATAATATTAATAGAAATTAAGATTTGTCGTTAAAGAGATCTCATAGAGGGGTTGGGGATTTAGCTCAGTGGTAGAGTGCTTGCCTAGCAAGCACAAAGCCATGGGTTCAGTCCTCAGCTTGAGAAAGAGAGAGAGAGAGAGAGAGAGAGAGAGAGAGAGAGAGAGAGAGAGAGAGAGAGAGTTCATAGAGAAACAATATATCCATCCCAGTGACATCTTCTCATCATAAAAATAACCATAACTTGAGTCCAGTCCCTTTTCCAGGATATAAAGTAAATAAATAAATTATAAAAACCCCATAATTCACTAAGAATCCATGTGCATCTCACCTGCCTTTTGTAAATTGTTGACATACATATTCATATCATAACATCAAATACAGCTTGACAAATTCAAATAGAAGTAGCCACTGGGTCTATATCTACAAACTAGATGTAAAGAATTGTTATATATTTCCCTGTACTTTACCAAGACTTTTTGTACACCCAAATGAAAAAAAAAATCCTTGCCTCAAGAAACAAAGAGGAATGAGAAGATTCACCAAGTTGAGAGATGAGCTGGGAAAGGACACGCTGGGTCCTCTATCTGGATACCATGCAGTTCAGGAGGCTAATGCCTCAACCTCAGAACATTACTATTGATTCTTCCTGTGGCTAGCAGCTGTCGGGAGGGTGATGCTCTCGGATTTACAGTGCAAGAAAACATCGAAGGAAGGCGAATTAATAATGGAGAAAATCTTAGCTTGGGAAGAATATTCATCCATGTCTTTTACTTGCAACATCTGTCTACACATGTCCATCACCCCCTACACCAAGTTGAAGCTCCAAATACTTTTTATCAGGGATGTTTGCTATATTTAAATGTTTTACTTTGGCTTCTCATCAATATATGTTTAACTGACTTTTGAATGTAAATTCCTTTAGTAACATTCAGATCTCAAGGCAAAATTAGTCCATGAAGTTCCTTGACCAATCCATAGGGTTATTTTTCCAAGTAACTTCCAGAAAGCCAGAGTAGAAATTTCTGTTTTGGTAGTTAAAACCAACCTGCAGAACATTCCTAAGTCAGTCTCAGGAGTGTCCTGGCCTCCTGGCCATGAAACGTCCTGTTTCCAATTTTGTAAATAAAATTTTCTCTCTGTGCTAGGTTTAGTTAGGAAGTAGGGGGTCAATGCTTCTGCAGATTCTTAGCCTCAGCTGGGGTCATAAGAGGAGGGTGGTGAGGGAGTGAGCAGAAGAGTCGTGACACTTCTACACACACACACACACACACACACATACACACACACACACACACACACACACACACACACACACACACACACACATACACACACACACACACACACACACACACAGAGTGCAGGAGAAATCATGATGAGCTCTTCTCTGGCCTCCAGTCTCTTCTCTGGTTCAGCAGATTTGGGAAAAGTAGAATTCCTCCAGTTCATTGCTGGGAATTGGATTATATATAGGTAGTTAGTGGGACCCCAGGGGAGACTGTTGACCTGTGTCTGAGGCATGTTCCAAAACCATGGCTGCTCAGGACACCATTGCTGGATCTTTGAGCACAAGCCTTTCCAAACCTGTGGCACTGGTTAAGGGTTAGGTTTCTCTAGGGACTTTTTTTTTCTCTTGGCGCTGGGAGAAGCACTTTTCTCTGTCTTTGTCTGAAGACCCAGGCAAGAGCCCGGTGGGAGACCCTCACTAGTTGAGAGGTGGTTAACACACATGGATCCCACATTCTTCCAGCCTTTGGAGGATGTCTGTTGTTGAACATACTTCTTAGTTTTGCCAGTAGCTTTAATCTGAGACTAGAATCAGAGTCCCAGAAAGACCCTGGGGCAAACAATTGCTAGGATTCCAACAGGTGGAGAAAGAGGTCAGGTTTGGAGTCAGATTTCAGTGTGAATCCATGCCTTATATTTTACACAGCACTTTGGAGTTTGCAGATTGTATGTTCCAGATCCCCTTCCCCACATCCTCCCATCCTGTAGGCTGATCAGGAAGACTGAGAACTATGGCTAGAGTGGAAATGCCTGGCTCAAAGCCTCAAATGCTAGAGACAGAATCGGAGTTTGAATTTCGGCTCTGTCAGTCAAAATGTCTTCCTCTATTGAGGAAATCATTGTCAGAGCACAGCCTGCTGGGGAACAGGAGGTCTGAGTGGCTCCAGTGCCCATCATATCTGGCCGCGGCACACCTGGCCGGGGCACACCTGGCTGGGCACACCTGGATGAGATGGCTTTGGCTGAATCTCCAGGGACTCTGCTGAGAGTACTCCCTCCCTAAATAAAGGTCTTGTTGCCTTGCCTCTGGGTTCTCCAAGGACTGGGGCTTGTCCTGATTGTTGTACTTCACTTTTTTGAGAAAAGACACTAGTTGATAGCACTGTGAGAATGTTAGGGCTGGAGGAAATAGGAATCTTTAAAGAGATGGAAAGTGTTTATTTCCTTATTTTTTTTCCCTTTTGAGTCCTGTCCTGTCAGATATCACAGAGTCAGTGATGAGGACTAGGTCCCCTTATCTCAGTTCTCAGTTTCTTCTCATGTAGTTATAATGATGCTTATTTCCTCAGGGAAATGTCAGATCATATTGTCATAGAGATGAAACAAATTAAAAGGAAAATATTTTTTAAGTCTTTTGAGGAGAGGCATGCTATCAATGAAAGCCATATTTAATTTTATGGACACAGACACGTCTTTGTAAAAAAAAAAGACAATATTGTGATATAGCAATACAAATAATGTAGGTACAGAGGGCGACTGTCCAAATGTCACATTTGGTTGAATTGCTGCTGTGTCCAAATGCAGTTTTAGAATGTGCTTCTGTTTCCGGCTAACAGAATGGCCTATATGAAGGAGATTTCCAATTTATTTCCCTTCAAACACTTTTGTATACTCACTCACAAGAGAAATTCAGTCCTAGATGTAGGGTTGACTGTCTGCTTAAGGTTTTGCCACACATAATGGTCAAAGCCCCTTATACTAGATTCCCCCCCCCTCAGTCTCTGTGAAATGGATGGGGAGGGGATGTTCCGTTCACAGGAAGCCAAGTGTCTCTGCCACACCATGCCACGTGGAGCACATTCAAATGGCTTCTGCCTTTAAAAGGAATGTTGTCCGTATCTCCTGTTGTAAAGAAACTTAATTGCTCTGTGCTGGTGTCTTTTTAGCTTTAGTCCAAAGGGAAGCATGCCCCGTGGAGACATTTAACATCCTGTAATAAAAACACATGGTTTAAGTCACCACATGTTCTGATATTTGCATGGTGGGGTTGGGGTTCAACAGTGCATGGTACTGGGTCAAGATGTTCATGTGGGGTTCTACCTTAACGGTCATTGTGCTTTTGGTCTTTGTCATCTATCTGTTTTGACTAAACTGAAAACACAGGCATGCCTCATTTCTCCTGTCCCCGATCCCCAAGGTAACCTGTAAGATAACGATACACGCAAACTGTCTAGTAAAACGGTATGGAAAAAACAATCAAAATGCACTACTGGTGTTTATTTTCTGCCTTGCATTATTTCTTCCTCTTTGAAGACGAAAATAAAGTAAACAAACCCAAACCAACTGGACAAACTAACCACAGACCCCATGCAGAATGCTGTCCTGTAGCTGGGTTTTGATCTTCAACAAAGGTTATTGCGCCCTCTGGTGGCCATAATAAAGATAACAGCGCCCAGAGTTGATGTGATTTTTAAAATGAAAGATAATTTTATGTTGGTGACTTATGTCTACACTAACCTTTGTGGCCTTTGACAATGTCTTTCATTTTATAGGCCTATTAATATAATTATTTAAAAACTTGTCATTGGTCCATGAAATTTGACTTGTCTATTGGATCACATAACATTATTGGCCATCTACATTGTTTAGATAATTTTGTAAAATGTAGACTTAGAAGAGTTATAAGCCTATTAAAATATGAACAAAGAATGCATCAAAATAGAAGAATAGATTACTTTCTGCTTGTCCCCATCAGCCACAGGAAGCTTGCCTGCATTCAGTCCTGTTTCACACATCCTGGGCTGCAGTGTCCACAGATGGTGTAGTTTCCTGCTTCCCTTCCTTCTCTCCTTTTCAGTCTAGTGCCTATCTTCTTCAGCTCCATCTTGTCTTTACGTATTTCTAAGCACCCCCTAACCCCGTGCAACCAGAAGCAGTGAAGTTATTTTAGGTCAAAAGGATCTAGGCTGAGAATGTAGCTCAAAGGCAGAATGCTTGCCTGGCAGGCGCGAGGGCCTGGGTTTGATTCCTTGTACTGCAGACAGTGGGCATGGAGGGGCCCATGATGATGGGGGGCGGAGCAAAAGATCAAGGTTATTTTCTGTGTTGGATTACAGCCTGGACTATGCAAGACCCTGTACACACACACACACACACACACACACACACACACACACACACACACACAC